ATATAAGTAAATAAATAGTATGACATAATTTGTTGGTCTCTCGCTCAACTGCGCCCCACATATAATAATCAAGGGGTTGCAGTTTGGGGAGTTATGTGGCAAGATGTAAGGGTGATGCAGTCGTAGAAATTGTCTGACAACCCTAATTGCGTTCTCCTGCTCGTATGGCATCGTGCGGATTTCTGTTGTCAAACATGGGGTCATCGAGCAGCCAGCCTCATGATCCAGGACAGCACTATCTCCTCAAGGGACTTGATGTTGGCCTCCGTGTTGAGTCTGAGGCCCTGTGAGAAGACGAATGAAAGCATAACGTCGCTATCACTAGTAATCATTCCAAACACCTTTTTAATCACCCTGCTGTTTTCAAATCCTCTGCACTGTCCTCAGATTGACACCCAAATACACTGAAATCTTCGTATTGTAGCTTCCGGCGCGGATGCAAAGAAGTACAACATGTTGTTTCCAAATTTCTGGCGGAGTCAATTGTATCATGCTGCTCTTTTTCTCACAGATGGCTCCCAACTGAAACTACTATAATTTGCAGTCGACAAAATTGACAAAAAACAACACGCATGCGCGATATTAAAAATATAAAATGACGACAATTAACACAGCCCACCCTCTATCAGATGTGTGTTGGTGTAAAAACTCGTGTAAAAATTCACATATAAAATGTATCTAACGACAATATTAATAAAAGAAATGACTAGAGGAAAACTTTTAAGTTCAACAGGTTTTTGAAGGTAAGTAGAGAGATTTTAATAAGGAGACTGTATTTACAAACAGAGGTAACTTGAAGAAGTGATAACGTTTCTACACATGCCTTGAGAAAGTTCCTTAACGGACGAATCACGTTGGAATAAAAGCTTTTCCACTTCTCAATTCTTTATTAATATATATATATATATATATATATATATATATATATATATATATATATGTTTGAACAAGCCGATATCAGGAAAAAATTCCCTAAATAAAGAAAAAGTCTAAGGATATCCGTGTTGGTCTAAAATAATCAACCAACACCGCCACAGCACAAAGAAAAAACACCGACAGGATAAATTAAGTAAAAACGTAAAAGTGCTCAATACAATAAGTAAAGCAATATCTAAAAAAAATGAGTTGAATACTACCTACCAAGGTTTCACGTAACGATTCTTCAGCCAGTAATACCCTGAAGATCCGTTATGTGAAACCAAGGTAGGTAAGTTCTGGCTCACTAAACAGGTTCATATATATATATATATATATATATATATATATATATATAATGGTTGCCGACTCATTGAAAAAGTATAATCATCGTTGACAAAGTTTGCTCAATATTTTGTTTCTCTTGAGAACGACAATGACTTTTGAAGCTTGTAAGTTACTTGTAAATGCTTATTGCAGATGTGGAAAACTAAGTTGTTTTGTACAGCACCTGGCCTGTTTTGTAAATCCTGTTAATCTTGCGCGTCGTTATATCTATCTATCTGTTTATCTCTCCTCTCTCTCTGTCTCTCTCTCTCTCTCTCTCTCTCTTGACACACACACACACACACACACACACACATATATATATATATATATATATATATATATATAATGTGTATTTTTGTGTGTCTATCTCTGTGTGTAATATTTTTGAAAATTTTGCTTCCTAAATGAGTTATACAGTAAATAGACAAAGAAAAGGAAAATAAATATGTGTATATAAATATAGTATATAACACCTAATTGTTTTAATAAATACAGAAGTTTTGTAAGATATTATTAAAGAAATTAAAACATCTAACCTTACTTGTAACAATAAAGCATTAAAATCATTCCTGCTCTCTCAACACCAATAATAATAATAATAATATTGTTTTTTTTGTTTTTTTTGGTAACAAAACCACTTCACTCACATGTAGTATTAGAATGTTACCAACGATAGTGGTGGCATACCAAGCAACCTAAGTAGATCAGTTTTTATAGCGCTGCCTATGAAGCCAGGTGCAAAGGAATGCGAACTCCATTGGACAATCACTTTAATGAGTCACATAAAAAATCATATCATCGGAATTCTAATGTATAGATCGCTTAGCCGAATTAGACCCCAAAAAGAACAAGAACAGTGAGGTTTTGTTAAAAAAAAATGCTATGACTTGGTATGCGATGTTTGCTATCAGATTATCAGAAAGAGCAAGACACATGGAAAATGATTTATCTTTTTAATCATTTCACCCTAAGCAAGGCAATAAAGCCACTAAGATGCAAAGTGTTACTGAGTGTTAGAGAATATGATTAAGAAGACAGTAGATTGCGATTCACATTGCATTTAAATTTTTGAAGCCCAAAGATGACTGGGAAGCAAGAGGCTGGAAGAGAGTTCCACAAGCGAGACGAGCTATAGAAGAAACTATTAGCATAGAACTTACGGTTACATCTAGCCATTTCAACTGGAAGATGATGAGATCTTGTTGCCAATCTAGCACTTCGTTTGAAGTCTAGAGAGGCACCATTACGGTAGTGAGAACGTGACCGACGGCAAGATTCTGGGTCAGGACCAATAACAGTATATTCTTTGTGTTTTATCAATAATCTTTAAATTAGATTATTCTTTTAATTAGATTATTCTTTATGTTTTTCAATAATCTTTATATTCATAGCAAGAGTACCAGACCTGATTTGGCGACAATATTCAAAGCAATGTTTTATAGATTATAAAATAGTATTTGATAGACTCCATCACAAAAACTGTTTGAACTACTAGGTGATCTTGATTTACTTGGAAAAGATATTAGAGTAATCGAGAATTTTTACTGGGAGTAAACCGCCTGCATACTGATAACAGATAACTTCAGTAAGTACGGAATTTTTTTTTTTAAAGGCTTAAGATAAGGTTGTGTCTTCTCTCTGGTTTTATTTATACTTTTCAGATGCAATGCTGAAAGAAATTAGAAGTTCTAGCAAGATTTATTATTGGAGGCCACAATCTTAACACCATTAGATATACAGATGACACGATGTTGACAGTAGACAGAGAACGAAAACTACAAGAACTACAGAAGGAGCTTAAAGATCAACTGTATGAGGAAAGCATCTATGGTCGTCATCAAGAGGACACTTATGTATAGAATCAGAAAAAGACATTTGAAATTTCTGAGGCATCTAATGAAGAAAACGGACTTAGAAAATTTAATACATGGCATATTGAAAGAAAGCGGGATAGAGGAGAGCAGACGATAACCAATCTTAGGGGCTTAGCGGAACAGACATATGAAGTGATAGTAAAAATATAACATTTACTGAGAGCTACAAAAAATGAGAGCTTGCGGAGAGCCATTGTCTTTTTTTTTCTTTATCAAATCATCTCATAACTCGAATGCGTTGTCCGATAAGTGTAATTAACACCGTTAGAAAAAAAATACACAACATGAGTGTCCATAGTCGAAGGTACCCTTAGGTATCGATAAAGACTTCCAAAAGCTAAGTGAAGTATTAAGAAACAGGAAAATTTCGTTAGAAACAGAAACAGGACTGAACTGCAATATCAGTCCTTAATAATGTTTCTATTTTCTAATTCTTCCGCATCCAGTCGAGCCTTGTGTCTTAGTGACTCTACTGCCTTGCTTGTGGTAAATTCGATTAAAAAATAGGGAAAATAAGACATTCAAGTGATGTATGACGGCTCGTATAATAAGGAACTGTATATATTCTATATGCATCGAAATTAAACGACCTTTCTTTAAAAGATATTTACATTTATATATAGTGAAACAGATCACTGATTCGAATATATAACGAAGAGTATCATTATATACAAGAAAAGCTAGAAAAAAGGACGAAACATCAATTGCAAAAAACACAGAATGCATGGTTCTTAGCAAAAGGAAGAGGCCAAAATGCAAATTACAAATTGGAGACACCAAGTAAATTCAACAATTTAAATATCTGGGTAGTGTTTTAACAGCAAGTGCGACACTGAAATCCGTAGTGGAATTGGAATAGAGAATGATGCCTTCCAAAAGCTAAGCAAAGTATTAAGAAACAGAAAAAATATCCGGGAAATGTTTTAACAGAGAACGGAAAGTGCGATACTGAAATCCGAAGGAGCATTAGGAATAAAGAAAGATGCCTTCCAAAAGCTAAGCAACGTAGTGAGAAACAGAAAAATATCTGGGAAGTGTTTAACAGAGGACGGAAAGTGCGACACTGAAATTTGAAGGAGCCTTGGGATGTCAAAGATGCATTCCAAAAGTCACGTAAAATATTAAGAAACAGGAAAATTTCGTTAGAAATAAAGAAAAGAGAAGTGAGATGTAATATAATATTAGTTCTATATGGCACTGAATGTAAGACAATCTCCACATAAGTGAATAGGAGACTTGAAGCAAAAGGAATGTAGTTAAACAGAAAGATGTTGAGGATATCATGAACGGAATATGTGAGCAACGACAAAGTTTTAGAGAAAATAGAAATTAAGAGACACTTATATTTAACATGAAAATGAGATCGTTGAATTGTCTTGAGTGCATAATGAGGGAAAAATAGACGTAGAAAATTTGAGAGACAAGGGAGATATGGAATGCAAGATGGACGGTGGAACACAGCGGTTGTGTAAAGGGCTGGAAGAATGATTATTATGAGATACAAATTTTATTGTGAGCTACAAAGGATAACAGGTTGCGGAAAGCCATGATCGCCTATGTCCTGACTAAACATGACACATCGAACTAGTGAAAACTTCGTACCGTTTGTTTGTTCGTTGTTTTTCTGGTTTTTTTTCTAGCGACGTATCAACATCTATGCGTTATTCTATGCCGAAATCTAATTATTCTGTTCGCAATTTTATTTTGTTTTCTGGGGATAATAATTATTTAGGAATAAAAGTCTTACTAAAGAACCCATAGCTGGGGGAGACGAAGGGTATTTGTACGTAAGTGAATATAAGAAAGCAAAGTGGAATTGGAACTCTATCCTCGATTAAGAATCCCTAGGCATTATCCATTACACCACACATTCATGCAAAAAGCACCTGGTATTCCCAAGTGGTCGCCTATCTAGGTACTGACCAGGCCCGACGTTGCTTAACTTCGGTGATCGTAAAGAAACCGGTGTTTCGATATGAGGCGTCCCTAAGTCATAGTATTATTTGTGCACATCGTCTAAAATGAGTAGAGGTTTATCCCTTGTTTCATGTTTAGGATTGCAGTCCCAGTAGCCCCTTGCTTCTTGTTGATATTGCCTTGCTTAGAATCATTTTTTTTTAAAGTGCTATTTTATTGTATTTGTTGTGTCACTGTGTTGCCGTTCTACATGTGACAAGTTAGTCTTCGAGAAAGGCTTGTGGTTACAGATACTCTATAAATTTTTTCCGGAGATAAAATCTGAAATATAGTGTGTTTGTGAGCAAATTAAATATTATTAGGTTGTCACACATGAAATGACTCATTATTTGGTTGGTTGATGATCCGGTCGCCTAACGAAAGTAATCTTCTTAGTATATAAATAATCTTGACTTATTCCAGACTCTTTTTGTTTCTCGATAATTTTTCTTTCAATATGTTGTTACGCATAAGCCCAAATGAAAATGTGTGCAATGAAACAATCTCTAGTATTCTTACTGAATGAGTATAAACTAAGAAAAATAACCATTTTTACAGGGAATCATACATTCGATGAGAAATGGATACTCTTTGACAACAGATTCTTTGACAAAGATTCTTCTTTGTACTTTATCAAGAATCGTTATATATATATTGCAGGTGAAGTACACCTAATGTGACCACAGTATCCAAAGCAATGTTTTATAGATTATTTAAAATTTCTTGATAAAGTACATCACAAAAAATTAATGGTTACTGTATGGTGGTCTTTCAAAGGGGTTATTCACTATTGTCTCAAGAGAAAACAATGAAAGCTACTGTGAAGAAATTGAGTGTATGCACGAAAAAATGAAAAAGAAACATCCTGAACTTATGAACAGAGATGGCCCAATTTTGCTACATGACAACGCACAGCCGCACGCTTATCAGTAAACTGTCCCAAAGGTGCATAGCCTGAATTGTGAAATTTTGCCTCTTCCTCCATATTCACCAGATATCTATCCTATTGATTATCACTTATGGAAGCATTTTGAGATTTTCATGCGCAAAATATTCTCCAATCCGGAATAGGTAAACGAAGGATTTATCACATCAATGGATGATAATTTTTTTTTCAAAGATGGGATCAAGAATTTAGATGTACGGTCGAGAATAGTCATTCATTAACATGGTGCCTATTTCAACTTAATGAATTAGTTATTTAACATTTCGGACGCATTTTATTCATTAACTATAAAGTGCGTCATTTAATGACATATAGTACAAGTCAAAAATTATCTGCACTTTCGCCATAACATATCTGTGTTATGATACAAGATTTTTTTTTTTTTGGTAAAAAAACAAATGTTTGAGGTAACAATAAGTTGTATGGGCTCACAAAAAAAGACAATAGAAGCCGAGTTTAAAAAATATACGAAAATTTTATTCTTAACATACAATAAAAGTATTAGAGAAATTAAGTGTTTTGCGCGTTAAATGAGTCGCTCATTTATAACAAATTTACGACCATTTGCGTAAATGTTTTATTAAAATTAAAATTTGGAAAATGAAATATGCCTTTTTACAATTAAAATTATAGTGCTGAATTTCATCAGAAAAGAAAACTACATAAAGTGAAGAAAAATAGAAATACTTCTCTGAATAGATTTCAAATAATAATTTGGTACACTTTTCGATGCAATGTCCATGGTAACAGTGAAGAATAGATCAAACACACCAACCGAATACTTTTCCCTTGATATGGGAACGACGTTGTTCCTTTGAATTTTCATCTAGTGTTGTCAAATTTATTCTATGTTGTTTTCTTTCTGAGCCGGGACAACCTGGATTCCTGTATTAGCTATTCGTCGACTACGCAAATCAAATTCAAGGACCCCATTAAATAACCTACAGGTAGGCTCCAAACACACTTCTCGGAATTTGGAGGGAAACTCTTTTATTGGTTTTGGACGAAAAACAAACGCAGCTGTTTTACCACAGATCAAAACGTACCAAAAATATTTTTCCAAATTTAAAAATTAAGCAAGAGACCAACGCATCGTCTGCTTTCTCTCTAAAAGCACGCTCAAGAAGCTTAAAATCCTTGTAATGAGTGAGGATAATGTTTTACTTTACCTCTTATTAATGTTATAGTATTTGACTTTCGTTAAAGGTTAAGCATTTTTATAATAGAAAATGCATCATCGTATTACCTGCAGACTGTGTGTCTATTACTCACGTATTACATTGTAAAATAGTAGGTATGAAGACATCACCGGATCACATCGAAATTGGACGTTGATTCTTGACAATAAATGACGTCATTCGAAAGTTTCAAGAATTAAATCAATTGACAAGAACTGTGAACAGTTGATTCAAGATATCAGTTCTCTGATATTTTGAATGAACTTTTTAACGACCTTTCTTTTTTAAGGGTCGGACGGGTCCTACTAACATCAGTTATATTTATTTTACCTTGTTTGATATTTAGTTTATTTTGGGTCTCATACCCCTCCTATCATTGTTAAATAATAGATTCTTATCTACGAAATATGTATTGTCATTAATTTTTTAAAATTCTGTGGTGCGTTTTGTAGGTCCCCTTGATAGGATGCGGTATTATGGTGTGTGGAGGATTTTTGTGGTGAATGCGCAAATTGTAACAAGTGAATGGGCTCTGAATCAAATTAGCTAGGAATAAGATAGATAGTGAAGACCAGCCTCAACACCTTTCCCACTGTTCGGTCTTGTGTCATAATTGTATTTTTAATAAAATGAATATCGATATTAGTTCTCTGATATGCAAATTAATCCATGGTTTAGAAAAAATGTTAAAGAGCATTTACAGCAATGCTATCCTGAGAGCATTAGAAGTCCTATAAGAATTTATTATCGGCGAATACAATCTTAACAACATAAGATAATGCAGACGATACACAGTTGATAGCAGAGACAGAAAGAAACTGCAGGAATTCCTACAGAATTTAGTAAACGAAAGCGAGAAGTAATTACTAAACGTTTATTGTAAGACAGAACACATAGTTGTAATCAAAAGGAATATCTCACGATGAAAACTATGAATTTGATAAGTTTAATATCTGAGAAATTCTTTTTTTTTATTGGAGAACGAAAAAAGTTGCACCGAAATAGGAAGAGGCATTGGAATAGCGGCAAAAAATGTTCCCCAAAAGTTAATCAAAGTATCAAGAAACAGGAAGAGCATCGAAATATTATGAACATTGATTCTTCTATAAGGAATTAAATGCTAGACAATCCCCTCACACATGAAGAAGAGACGAACGGCAACAGATATTAGGTTCCACAAAAGGATGCTGAGTATACCATGGATTGAACATCTAAGTACTAAAAGAAAGTTTTAAGGTAAACGGAAACAGAAAGGATGCTTATATTTAGAATCAGAAAGAGACAATAGAAATTTCTGGAACATATTCAGAAAAGAAGGTTTGGAGAATTTGATACTCTCAGGCTATGCTAAAGCATGAGTGACGGTGATAAAAAAAGCGATTAACCTATCTAAAAAAAAAGCTCATGCAAAGTATAACAGAACAAGGAATTGAATGGATGGTAAAAAACAAATCTTATTAAGAGGTATGAGGTTACGGAAATTTAAAATCGGCCACTTCCTAACGGAACACGACATCTGGAAGGTTTCTCATAACTGTCCTCTACAAAATGTCGCACGTAATCATTAGTATACCATTGCAATATCTCATCTATTGACAATCCCGAAAACATAAAAATCTATATAGGTTGCACGAGCCATGAGTTCAAAAAGCGGTTCAATCAACACCAAACTTCATTTAGGATAAATAAATACAGAAATCAGAAATCAGTTTTACATTGAGCACTGTTTTGTAAAAATAAAAAATATCAATCAGAACACCATATTATATATTACTATTTTTTTTTTTATATATATATATATATATATATATATATATATATATATATATATATATAAAAAGCAATATGTGACTGGTAGGGATTATTCTAACTAGGGCATTAATCCAAAGAGAGCCCAATGTATATTACAGAGCATTATAATAATAATAAATGAATAAATACAAAAGCTTAAAGATCTATTTCGGTTATGATTTATTTCCTAAATATTGCTATATTCATATCCTGAAACCGAAAGTTCTTTAATAAATGGATAATATATATATATATATATATATATATATATATATATATATATATATATATATATATATATATGGGCGCGTAACAGAGTAGTTAGAACATTGACTTTCTCGTCATGAGATCCGGGATCGGATCTCACCATAATTTAATCCGATTCTTGTGAGTGAAATTGGGTAAACGGAACCGTTCGAAAGCCGTGCTAGCACGAACTCACAAGTCATCGTGACCGAGGTATTGAGCATACGGGCGTTGTTAAAAAAAGAAAAAAATGATCATGCCAAATGACGCATTCTCTGCCAGAAACTGTAAATAAAGTCTGCTAAGCATAGCTGCAGTATAAACCTCATGGGATTTTGGTTTAAGCGAACACCTCTAACAGGGATTTGTTAGCTGCCATGGCAGATGGGTGTGTTTGCAAACGTATAGGCAGATATTATATATATATTTATCCTATCAAGTACAATTTTTATATTTACAAATGTTTAGCCATATCAATTCATTAGTCTAGCTAGGATAAAATTTATGGGGTAAAATGAAACACTTTTTTTTTTATCAAAGACGCGTTTCGCTGCAGAAAATATGTGTTCTCTTTGACTTCTTCAGTTTGAAAATAAAAGAAAGACAAAACCATCTGAGGAAAAAGTGACTTGGTATCTCTGAGGACAAGTGGATATATATCTCATATTAATTATCCCAGCTTATCACATCCTGATTTGTACTTGAAGAGAGTGTATGCCAGTCTTTGGAGTTGTTTGTTTTCTCTATATCTGTGTTAGAACCGTTTGTTAGTGTAGAATAAAATATGACGCAATTATTGTGCCCAGTTTAACTCGCATTGCACTTGTTGTTTGGCTAATAGATATAAAAACCTTCA